CTTCCTTCCTTCCTTCCTTCCTTCCTTCCTTCCTTCCTTCCTTCCTTTCCTCCTTACCTTCTTCTCTCCCTCCTTTCCTTCCTTTTCTTTTTGAGACTGGGTCTCATGTATCCCAGACTAGCCATGATCTCACTATGTAGCAAAGGATAACAGTGAGCATCTAATCCTCCTGACTTGACCTTCCCAAAGCTGGAAACCAGAGAGAATGGCACTGGGATTCAAAACTGGGGAAACACTCCACCGACCGAGCTACATTCTGACCAGATTCCCCCTCCCTCTTTTGTCTTCTTAACCTTTTATTAACTAAATTTCTTCTTTTACAGTTTCATATATGTCTATAATACATTCTGATTACCCTCACCCCACTCTCATGCTCCCTACAAAGTCTTTCCCCACACTCATGTCTTTTTGCTTTGCTCTGTGATACACTGAGTACAAAGGAAGGCCGTCTGTGTGCTCATGGGTTTGGGTACACAACAGAGCCTTGTGGGCCCAGCCATGGGCACACGACTGGAGACAATGTCTCTTCCTTCTCCAGGCTAAAGTAGTCAACAATTCAGTAGGGAGAGGTGGGTCTCATATTTTTTGGAAGGTTTTAAATCTCTATTTTGTTGTTACCTTTATTTAATTATTTCTGGGGCAGCATATGCCATGGCACCTTTCTGTGAGGACAGAGAACAGCTTGGAGTCAGCCCTCACCTCCACCACACAGGTTCAGGGGGTCAAACTTGGGGCCAGCTCCTTTACTGCTGAGATGTCTCACTGGCACTCAGTTCCTTAATATGGATCTGCTCCGCCCCACTCTCTTCCAATCTTTTCCTTGCCTCAGCCTTTTGCTGTCTGTCCCCTTCATCTCCTCTGACCCACCATGATTAGATGCCCTTGTGCCCTTTGAGTGAAAGGTTCACTGTTGGCTGGGGGTGCCCTGGACCTGTGTGACAGCGCCAACCTGCAGCCACAGCAAGGGTGAGCTGAGGGGGCCGCCTCCAGCAGAAGCGACACTCACACACAGGCCAGGGACCCCGGCTGAGCCCACTCACCAGTGTCCAGAGCACATAGATGGTGAAGAGGGCGATGGTGAGGGCAATGAGCCCCACAGCCTCCAGCCGGCTATGCAGACGGAGGTGGTCCTGGGCCCCTCGAAGGCACAGCCAGCCTGAGATGGCGGCCAGCGGTGTGATGAACACGAAGCACACCATGTCACAGCACAGCGTCCGCTTCTCAGTGCGAGGCCCCGGGTCCTTCAGCCACTGCAGGGGAGCAGACGGGCGAGAGCTGTTACATATGCAGGGGTGGAGCAGACGGGTGGGAGCTGTTACATATGCAGGGGTGGAGCAGACGGGCGAGAGCTGTTAC